CTTTTGCATTTGGAGTATGGCAGGCCTCAGACCCTCTGTATCCCCGACTCCAAAACCCTAGGGATTGACCTCGAGTGTCCCCCGATGCCTTCTGCCAGAGGCTCCAGGTAGGGCCGTTCTCCCTGGTTGTGGTGGAGAGCACATTTTTTACATCTTGCCCTGCCCAGACTGGCCCAAGGGCTACTGTGTGAACTATATCCTGTTTAATTTGTTCAAAGGCTTGTCTTTGCTCAGGGCCCCATTTGAAATTGTTCTTCTTCCGGGTCACTTCATAGGGAGGGCTTATGATCAGACTGTAATTTGGAATACGCGTTCTCCAAAAACCCACAACACCCAAAAAAGCTTGCATTTTCTTTTTGCTAGTTGGTGGAGACATAGCTGTTATTTTTGTTGATCATATCCATTGGGATCTGATGACATCCATCTTGCCATTTCATTCCTATAAGCTGGATCTCCTGTGCAGGTCCCTTGACCTTACTTTGTTTTATGGCAAAGCCAGCCTCCAGAAGGATTTGAACTATTTTCTTCCCTTTTGCAAAAACCTCTTGTTGTGTTGTATGTGTTGCCCCATACTATGATGTCATCAATGTATTACAGGTGTTCTGTCCATGGCAAAATGGTAGGGGCTGTGTTTCCGCCCCTGGGGCAGTCGATTCTAGGTGTACTGGATGCCCCTCCAAGTGAAAGCAAACTGTGGCCTGCACTCTGCCGCCAAAGGGATTGAGAAAAATGCATTAGCGATGTCAGTTGTGGCATATCGCTTGGCTGCCTTTGACTCCAGTTCGTGTTGAAGTTCTAGCATGTCACAATCAATATTGTGACCAGTAATTGTTAACAGATATAAATTCCTTAATACACTCTGGTTAATCTGTTATTATCTCAAACCCTTCACGCCCCATGTTAGGCATCAAAAAGGACTGTTGTGGTTTAATCCCAGCCAGCAACTAAGCCCCACGCAGCTGCTCACTCACTCTCCCCCCCATGGTGGGATGGGGGAGAGAACTGGAAGAGTAAAAGTGAGAAAACTCATAGGTTGAGATAAGAACAGTTTAATGACTGAAATAAAATGAAGCAAAATAGTAGTGGTAGTAACAATAACAATAACATAACAATAACATAACATAACATAACATAACATAACATAACATAACATAACATAACATAACATAACATAACATAACATAACATAACATAACATAACATAACATAACATAACATAACATAACATAACATAACATAACATAACATAACATAACATAACATAACATAACATAACATAACATAACATAACATAACATAA